CTATCACTGCTGTGAACCGATCACCACACAGAATATGCAGAATATCAAAAACTTTAGGAGTCGGCTGTCCACGGTAGTCCTCAAGATTTCAGCACAATAACACACTCAGCAAAATATAGTCTAATTATCGTTATCGATAAAATCTCAGAAAATATTGAGAGATATTTTTGTCAATATCGCACACCCCTAATATATTTAACGTTTTGTTTAGAAAAAAATTCAAATAAATATGAGAAGTGCCCTTTTTTCCACTTGAGCCCCTGCCCCTCAAAATGTCTGTGCACGTCCCTGGTAACTTGAGTGTATTTTTTATGTCTGTAGGTTGGATTACTCTGGTATCGCGTTGTTGATCATGGGCTCATTCGTTCCGTGGCTGTACTACTCGTTTTACTGCTCTCCTCAGCCGCGGCTCATCTATCTCTCTGTTGTATGTGTGCTGGGTGTCGCTGCTATCATTGTGGCCCAGTGGGACCGATTCGCCACCCCTCGCCACCGGTCCACACGTGCAGGTAACATTCTCCCCTGCTTCTTCGAGTATTCCACCTGCCTGATTGATTTCAAATGTTTCTTAAAACATTTTTCCTAATTTTTAGGAGTTTTCCTGGGCCTCGGTCTGAGTGGGCTCATTCCCACAATGCATTTTACCATCGCAGAGGGTTTTGTGAAGGCAACGACAGTGGGTCAGATGGGCTGGTTCTATCTGATGGGTGCCATGTTACATTAGTGGAGCAGCACTTTATGCAGCACGGATACCTGAACGCTACTTCCCTGGGAAATGTGACATCTGGGTAAGACTCAAGGGAATCTTTCTTGCATGTATATTGGAAAGTAGTGTAATAGCATAATATTCATGCAAGTATCCACAGTGTCATCTGTTTCCAGTTATTTTAGCAGTACAAAACCAGATATGCTTGTTGATGTTTATACTGATGATATTAATTAAAAATTTTTTTAAATCCTAATCATAAACACAAAGTTTTGTAGCAAATAGTTTTGATGTTTACAGCACTTTGTTATTCTCCTAGTTATTTATCTATAGTGGCTAATAATAATTTAATAATTTAATTAATAATAATTTATGCATTTAGCAGACGCTTTTATCCAAAGCGACTTTTAGTGCATTCAGGCTATACATTTTTTACCAGTATGTGTGTTCCCTGGGAATTGAACACACAACCTTTTGTGCTGCTAACGCAATGCTCTACCACTGAAATGGAAGTCTCACTGCTTACTTTTGCATTGCAAAAAGTTGCATACTCGTGGTCTCTGTCTGTTTTACTTTCTCAGTTTCAGTCTCATCAGATATTCCAAGTGCTGGTTGTCGCAGCAGCGTTTGTCCATTTTTATGGGATCTCAAACCTGCAGGAGTTCCGCTACGGCCTGGAAGGAGGCTGCACAGATGATACTCTGCTGTAACGAAAAATAAATCACTTGAACTTTGGATGAAGTCCAAACAATGAACCTGGACCCGACACAATGCTGATTTAATCATTTTTATTATCTCTTGAAGGATTTTAACATTTATTTGAATAAGATGTTTATTTGTTAAGATACTTCAAATTCTTGATAAATGAGGTAGTCTTGTGTTTATATTGTTCTTTACTATTTCAGTGCAGCACAGAATTGATTGTAAATCACTGGAATAAAGCATAAAGCATTACAGAGGTCTTGAGAGGCACTACCTCCTCCTACACTCTTTCTTCTGAGTGTCCGCGGGTCCTTAAGATAGGGTGACCAGACGTCCCCGTTTTCCGGGGACAGTTCCGTTTTTTTGGTGTCCTGTCCCCGACTGGAGCTGTCCCCGGAAATGTCCCCGGTTTACAGCACGTTCAAAACAACGATTATTTTCACCCGCAGAGGGCGCTGCGAGCTACTGTAGCCATGAAGAACCTGGACGAGAGCAGAGCGCTATTATCATCAATTATCAAAAGTTATTGGTTTCAAGGTAGTCACATACTAACTATACATGTTAAAACAAAGTAATACTGTTTGTGTGCACTTTATAACAAAGCATGATAAGGTTGCGGGATTGTTTTGCACACAGTATTAAACATTCCTGAAACTTTCGCTGTCACAACTCCGATATGAATAATATAAAAAATAATAAACTAAACAATTAACACTTGCAGAAAGCACATACTTTGTGGTCAAAATGAGCCTAAAATGCAAAACCATAATTTATTTAAAATTTATTCATAATTTACAGTTTGTGAAAATGTTAAATACAGTCAGAAAATTTTACAAATATTTGTTAAATGCAGTTTCATTTATATGTTCTCATATTGTTTTATTTTTAATGTGTTTTGTAAAGTCATCATTTTGTTATAATCCTATTTTGATCTCTCTACAGTTACTATTCACTTTTCATAGTGTGATTTTTGTTGAATTGTAGGCCTATTAATAAAATAGGGTAAGTTTGATCCTCAAACTTCATTGTAATTATTAATTATGATATTAATATATGGAAACCACAACAATTAAAAAATAAAAACATACACATATATTGTCCCCGTTTTTTCATTTGTAAATAATCACAAGTGAGATTTCAATGATATTTTGACCACTGAACTAGGAAATGTCCCCGGTTTTCATTTCAGAAATCTGGTCACCTTACCTTAAGAAGTCTTAAATGTCTTGAATAACGTTTTCCTAATAAAAGGCCTTAAAAAAAGTCTTAAATTCAGATTCGATGGGTCTTAAATATTTTGGTCACATAACCGCTAAAATATCTCAAGTCTGAGGGACACTGTTTTACAATCATTGGACTGACCACCGAAGATTCCCCCTCCCCACCTCCCGTAGTTACTGCGGCACCAGACAGACTCGCAGTAACGTTAGCAGAATACAGGTCGAACTGCTTTCTTTGTGTATAATGTTCTCAATAATAATAAATATAGGTCGAGCTACAGCTGACCATCAGCCTTCTAGCTAGTTTAAAGTGTTTTTTTTTTTTTTTTTACTTGCCCGACCGGACAAACATCCCGATTAAAACTTGCTTGTGTAACGCGGTGTGTACGGAACAAATAGGGGTAGCTCACCACAAAGTGCTTAAAGAAGTCAGTGAAAGAGGAGGAAGTGTCATGGTTTGGGGGATGTTTTCTTCTGCAGGAGTTGGGCCTCTTATACAGCTACATGGCAAAGTGGATGCAAATGTTTATCAGAGGCAACATGCGGTTCCTTCCCTGCATTCATCGCCCAATCAGCCAGCAATTTTCATGCAGGACAATGTCACACTGCAAAACAGGTTAAGCAGTTCCTTGAAGCTGAAAACATTGAAATAATGAAAAGTTCGGCCCAGAGTCCTGAACTAAACCTGACTGAAAATCTCTGGAAATCCTTAATGACAGTTATAGCTAAGAAACCCACTACAGTCACCAAAGAGTGGACCAAGATCACACCAGAGCAGTGTGAGAGACTAGTGATGTCTTGCTGCCGCAGATGTGCTGAAGTCATTCACAACAAGGGCCTGTACATTTTTGACTGCTGTAACCTTCAGACATTTTAGTTGTAATTTTTCTTTGTGCTACTGTCATTGCTGTTCTCTAATTTTGATCACGGTGTTTTACACAAAATAAAGGGGTTTTGTTGAAGTGCTTTGGTTATTTTGTAAAACACTCTTCTACTAGCATGATATAGCCGCCCAGAAACTAAAATTCCTTCAAATTTTGAACCTTGAAGATTACATTATTTCTGAAAAATATCAAGTGTTCATAAGTTGTTCTTTAATTTTGATCTCCACTGTGAGTGTGTGTTTGTATATATGTATATAAATATGTTTTAGTATTAGTATTTCAACTAATTTCCGTTTTCAGCTACATTTCTGATTGTTTCTGAGGTTTTTCTTCTAATATTTATCACTATACCTACAAGGTAGTACACAAATCTAACACAATTGTCGTTTAGGCCTAACTTGAACTACAATCATGACAGATTTTAGTCATGACAAAGGTCTGTTTGTCAAAAGATTGCATGACTACTTTTCACTTGAAATTATTATACAAACAGCTGTTCAGTTTGTAGTCCGAAAATGGAAAAAGACCGTGAAAGTGTTTAGGTCTGTGGTTTACATTACTTCAGGCAACGGTAATATGTCAAAAATGAATTTTAAAGCTACTGTGTTTAATAAAAACATAACTTGCTAACAAATTGCTATATAAAGACTGCAACTGATGTCCAGTTCTTAAAGCATTTACAATTCACACCCTTGTGGTAGTTGTAGTTATTCAGGCATAGTTTTATTTTATTTATTTTCTTGCTGTCAAGTTGTTTTATAAAAAAGTAAATTTTATAGCGTTTTTATCATAAAACTTTTTTTTTTAATTAAATGATTAAGTAAAGGCCTGAATCTGTTATTTAAGATGCCGCGCGAGCACGGGGTTCGCAGTGCGCACGCGCGCTGGTGACGTCGCAGTGTTTTGCTGAGGATGCGCGCAGAGATCGGAGCAACGGAAAAGTTTTGAGTGTGATTCAAATAACTCCTACTGAGTTTTGATAAGCATAGAACTTATAATATTAAGAAGAAGAAAAAGATGGGGAAATCGCGGGAAAAAAAGGAAGTTTGATCAGAAACAAAAGATAGGATTGATGATTCTGAGATTGAAGATGAAATGGAGACGGGTTGGTCACAGGTAGAAGGAGGGAGAATAAAAAGTGTAGGAAAAACAAATAAGAGGAAGAAAGATAATGAAGAGGAGTCAGTAATTATAGATGAGGATAGTGAAAGGGAATTAATAAGTGGAAGGAGAGAGGAAATAAAAATGATTGTGAGATTTAAAGAGGGGCATGGAGTAAAAGGAGTAAACCCAATTGAATTAACAAATGAGTTGAGGAAACAATCAGGAGAGATT